TTACAGTAAATTTAATGCTGTGCTGTAATGTGCACTGAAATGATTCTGTGAATGGACATATTGTAGTCCGACTGTGAAAAACTAGTTATCTCACCTAAGTATTTTTATAAGATGATTTGTGAATGTTAGCTGCTGTAGAAGGGTATATAAGCCCGTCAGATAGTTGAATAAAGCAGTTCTCAATTGTATAGTTGTTTTAACGTAGAATCAAAGGCGTCTAAATTCTTGTGAGTAGGGATACTGAATCCCGGAGACTAAAGAAATTTAGAGATTTGTTTTACGTTATCCTTGTCACGAAGCTGGTTTGTGACACAGGGCGAAATTGATCAATTTCCATTCGCATTCGTTTCATTAAATGACTCAAAATGGAAACTATGTTTATCTAGGTTTTGATTGCTTATTTATATAAACTACATTTTCGCCACATACAGTATTACTTTTTATGCCTTTTCATGTAGTTTAACGTCTTGTAGATTGATGAACATATCGTTACAATTGCCATATTGTCATGCTACATGACATGATCATATAACTTTGTTCTAAATTTAAAGTATTTATATACTTGGATATTTTGTTTCTAGCAGTAGAGCATGTAACAATTGCCATGCTAAATGCATTGCTGCAAAAGCCTTGCATTGCTGCAAAAGCCTTGCATGACTATGCATTACTGTATAATTACAAACTTCTTTTAAATTTTACTTAAAGGAATCAGTATGAACTTGACCAGCCAATACCGGTAATGGCTGCATTATCGGCTTTAGCAGTAACATACACACATTAAATATACCCATTTCAAATTGTTTTAATCGAGGCATTAATTGGAGCTGAAACAAAAAGTTGTATTAGATCAATTATGATCTACTGTCCAATACATTGGAGTATATCCTGTAATCATGCTACATAAAATGAAAATTAATTTGCTTGAGTAGAAAAGAAAGACTAAAATAGGCCTATTTCGAGATATAATCGAATGCATTTCGATCATATCATACCATTCCGTTATTTAATTGTCTAAAATTGAAATTATCTTTTACGGTAATTTTAATTACAAATGCATTAGTTGTAATCACTCCAAGATTTTTTATTTGGAGGAAAGAGGTATTTATTTTGATTTAACTTATAGTCTTTCGAAAAGCCAAGACAATGTTAGGATTAGTATCACGCTCTAAATCACGATTTACCATTTAATTGAATAATGTACTTTTATATATTGCAGTATATTAATCGTTTTCAATCATTTTGATCTGTACCATCGTTAGAGCTGGATTTTTATGTAATGGTCCGATTGAATAAAAGGTTGATAACTGAAAGATAATAAATTATGTAATACAGGAAGTGATTATCCTTTCGATAATTAAAGATAAATTGTAATAATTATCGAATTGGAAAGGAAGCAGGTCAAGAAACATGTGATGACCTTAGATAATTCATAAAATTCTATCCTATTGAAGATAATTCCGGTATTGATGAGGCCGATTGAAATGATTTTTCCGTATTGATAAGGAATCATTAATTAATGCAGTTAAAAGAACAATATCAATTAATTAAATCATCGAATTCATCAAATAGTCATGAATACAAATAACGAGAGTACGTGAAAAATAAAATATATTCAAGAATAGTTATTGTCAATATCAATTATTCATATTATTGTCGGGAAAATTAAAATTTGCGTAGATAACATACGAATAACAATTTGTCCTTATATTGATTTAATATTGTATCTTGGTCAAAAGAATTATTGATTGATCAACTTGGCTAACTGTTGTCAATTTGTTTTATTTTGTACTATATTGTGATGTTTGATTCTCATTATTCTTGAAGGAAAGCAAAAGAGGAAAAGAAAAACTAATTCAAAAATTTTCAACCACCTCCATCTTCAATATCGATCTTATTTTCTTCGAAACAAATATCAACGATCGACGACATATTTTGTCCATGATATATCCAATAGGTCTTAAAAAGTACCCCAAATTCAATTCAATTTAAGCTATTACTTTTAGGCTATATACTTATCGAACTCCTCTATCCATTTCATCTCACCCATCACTGTTGCTAAAATTAAGTTGAGCTAACATACTTCTCGATTAGGACTTTCATCTTTATTTCACAATTAGATCCCATATTACGATAGTAACTATCTTCATTAGCTAAAGTTAAGGTTGTTACGGATCAGAAGCACTTTATTAAGTTATACGGGTTCTTTTTATAATTCGTCAACACTATTCAAGGCATTAATAGAGCCTTATCAAAACATCCCGCATTCTATCTTCAAAAGTAGATTAAAAATAGATAATTAGCGATCAAACCATAATTTATCACTACCAAGACGTGTCTTAACCTGATAAATTATCAGGCAAGGATCATTAGCTCTTTTTCCTTTATAGAAATATTCCTTCTTCACATTTTTTACGCTATCCAAGTCTAAAGCCTAACTGAATTGAAATACGAAACTGGAATGGCAGTACTTGAGTGACTTTCTTGCAGTTAATGTGGTTTTAAGGCAATTAGGTTCAATCATTGCAGTAGCTATCAAAGAAATGGCGGCAATAGCAAGTGGCTCTCTCAATCATAACAATTCTCAACTCTTCAATCCAGTCATCTTTCCACAAGTATGCCGCAATAACTCTTATTACATATCGCAAATTGATCATCGCATCCATTTTGATCCCAGTTTAACCATTATCCTTATTATTATTATCATTATTATTATGGTTACCGCTTTCATCGGTAATTTTTTAATCATCATTACCATCTATTATAGTAAAAGACTGCACACTAATTCTGGATATTTAATGGCTAATTTAGCTGCTGCTGACTTATTATTTAGCTGCACTGTTATCCCATCCACCTTAGTGATACTCATTTATAGAAGAAATATCCTTCCATCTGTTCTGTGCGTCATGAGTGGCTTCTTCTATACTCTTGCCGGAGGGACTTCCATTGCCACTATTGCTAGTATTACAACTGATCGTTTCATAGCAGTTTTTAAACCATTGCATTATCCGAGCTGGATGTCATCGCAATTTATCGCCATCTTAATTGCATTTTCATGGATATTTGCTGGTATTCATGCTGTTATACCCATGCTGGGATTGGAATGTTATGGCTCTTGGTCGTTATACATTTATGCAAGCATCGGCATCATGTTGGATTGATTCAACGTTAATGCGTGGTTTACCAAATCAAGTCTATATAACTTTATCCACCATTGAAGTTTGCTTACTGCTATCATTTGTCGTATTCTCTTATATTTTTATGTACTGTAAAGCAAGAGATTCTAATCGTAAAGTATGGTCGATTAATTTATCTATTCGCTCTCATGCTGTCCAATCCAATGCATTTACTCAACCTAATCGAAAGCGCCATATCTGTAAAGCAACCAAAACAACCCTTACGCTTATTAGCGCTTTTCTAGTTTGTTGGACACCAGCAGCTTTAGAAGCAGTACTAGCGCTGTATCTACCCTATCAAATATCTGATGTAGTCTTTTTAGTATTAACCTGGTTGACCTATCTTAACAGTGCAATCAACCCAATTATTTATGGCTTAATGAATCGTAATTTTATTGAAAGTTTTAGACAGTTAGCAAGACGTTATCAATCCAAACATTGCAACTGGATAGGACCACTCTTTGGGCAGAAAACTTCTGTTACTTTAGTTGAAAATATACGTGATTCTAAACTCAATCAGTACGGGTAGTTTGTAATTCTATTGAAATGACTACAAATATTACGCATAATTTGTATTCAAGTTATGTTCTAGTAATTTACTGTATATCTGTAATTTAAAAATTTTACTGACAGTATTCTCTCAGTATTTGAATTGCGAGTATATAGAATCACAGCATATTGTTTAAATTGAGCAATTCTTTTTCATTATAATGTAAAATTCGTAATATTGTGACTATATTTCGAGTGAATATTGTCAACTTACTTGTTCCGTTTACATTAATTTGCTTAATGGATTTGATTAACTGTAATATGAATTGAATAGTTTATATTTCATTTACGTTATCTATGATCACGTAGATATTGATTTACAGATCAAAACTGCTACTATTCATATCTATCTAATAGCATTTGATTAATTATCTACCTAAATCCACCTAATTTGGCAGATACAAATCCAATAATTTTCGTAGTTTTAAGATTTGTAACAGTAAGAATACATAACTAGGCGAATACTTATCTCGTCAACTTGTTACTGTATCCCAATTGGTAAATTGATTTGTGAATCATGATCGAATAGTTGTTACACTGTATTAATGTTTTATTTACTCAATGCTGTACCATCATTACATGGTCACTGATTTTAAATTAAAGTGTAACTTCATTAATAGCATCTTAAAATTTTTAATTCTAAATTCCAGTCTACATTAAGTAACCTCAATGTTGCGATCAACCATGCTATAACTTAATGGTATGGTACATATGTTTAACTTATTTCGTTCTTTTTTCTAAGCATATTTGTTACGTTTATGATAGAATATCGTAAATCTTTTTAAAGTTTACGAAAATCCTACTTCCCATTTATACTCTATCTGCTGGTAGCATTTGAATTCATTGTTAAATTGCCTATCTTCATGCATCGCTTTACCGCTATAATCGCTATCAGGCGAATAAATTTAATCAGTGATAACAATCATAAGCAAAAATAATGGTAATTATTACTAAGTATTCAGTGTTAATAATGTTATCTTTTTAATTTTCAATTAATCTCATTTTAAACTATAAAGTAATTAAAAGATAGCATATAGGGAAAATAAAATATACCTAACTAACAAACAAATATGTGTATGCAATGTGGCTACTTTCTTTCAAAACACTCTTCATAAATATATTTCAGATAGTGAATATTACGCCATTAAATACTAATTCATTATATTGATAATCATCTTTGGTTGGATCATAACACTCCGTCTCCTTTTACATCACCGTAAAAGTATTAACTTAAAACTGTACACTAGCATAATCCATACACAGTTCTAACAAAATGTCTTAGAATTGCTTCTTGATCAGTCTTTCTAATTTTTTTATACGACTTGGTTCTTGATGTGGTTGACGTCGATTTGACGATTTGGTAGTAGTAGTAGATGTACTTATTGTGGTAGTAGTGGCAGTTGTTGCCGTAGCATTGTTTGAACTCTGTTCGCTAGCCGCTGCGTTAGATGGAATATTTGCCTTAAATAAGTCGATGACGCTATGCTGCTCGTTTCGTTTCATTCCCTAACGTAATTGTTATTAAAATATCTTTAAAATTTTTATCATATCACTAAATGATGTCATAATAATATCTGGTAGAATACATCCATGATTGGGTTTATATTTGCTAACCTTCATCTCTAAGACTTTCTGAAAATTTGATACATCATAGTCATTAAGTAAATTGATATAGCTCTCAACAAATCCCATAGCTGGATCTTGTGGTGACATAACAACCTGTTATTATTTAAATGTATTGGAATATTTCTTAAGAATTTAGTATAATATTCATCATATGTAAAGCAAACAGTATGCTATTTATAGCATCTTTATAGACTAATTTTTACATACTTTTAATATCATCTCGGCTTTTGACATGCCTTTCGATATAATTTTGGTGTAACTACCAAAATGAGAATGAATAATCAGTCGCTATAAAATAAGTAATGAATTACTAAAATATGTCGTAAATATATAAATGTACCTGCTCGATGCTTTACGTGCAGTTAAAGCTCCAATACATGGAAGATCTAGTAAAGTTGTCTTTAAAGAATGGGTATCTAACAATAGCTGATAAAACCATAAGCGTAGAATGTTTGTACAAGTACATGTACATGTGCATTAGTAACGATACAAGTATAAATGTCCTAATCATATAAATATAACACAAAATACAGTATATCGTTATAATTTAAGAAATATGCTTACCTGCTCTGCTCCAACGGTACTAATTGGCTTACACTTATAAATATGGCTAATAAATTTCGGTATGAAAGAACTACAGAAATTCGTGCAGATAAAACGAATTTAGTACAGTATGCTTAGTTTATTACAAGTACATTATCTACTGAGCTTACTTTGCGAATTTTATACAAAATTGCGTAAAATATTTCCTTGCAGAGGCCAAATTATCTCTTATTTTCGGTACAACTTGGGATAAATGAGAACATATCGATGTCACATAATTACTTTGATCGCCAACAACTTCGACATTTTGCCAGTGCATCTGGATTTTTAAAATGTTGACATTTTTATTCATACAATAAACAAGTTGGCATAATGAATTGCAGAAAATCAGGTATAACTAGACTGATATCTCGTAACGAATTCGTTTACCTTGATCATAGCATTTAAAGCTGGATCACATGCATTATCCAGGTCTTGGACTAATAATTGGATACAATTGGATATGATGCTAAAATTATAAATGAGGGCATAATTGGAAATATGCCATTACAGTTCAATTATAAGCACTAAGGCAATATCGTTGTTTTATGAAATCAGTTAAAGCTTATTACTTGTGAAATACATCTTGTTCGCTGCTAAAATCGATTTTTTCAGCCAAAGTTTGATCAATTTTCTCTTTCAGCTTATTCTCTAACTAGGAAAATTGTATCTCTAATTAGATGATTGTAAAGTAGCTTTAGCTAAGTCACAGTTATGGTTTACGATATTCGGTACTTACTTGTACGGTTGTTTCTAAGCAGTAATCCGCAGAACTTAATACACAACATATCGTAGCTTGATCATCTACGCTAAATCTAACCTCCACGTCTTTTAGCATTGATGATACACCACTACCGGACCTAAAGTAATTATTTAATCAAAGTTGATGGACAATTAAATCACCAGTTTGAAAGACACATTGTACCATATCCTGCAAAGAATGTTTTATAAAATTCGATCACACAATATTGTGCAATCCTAGTATTCACAAGCATAAAACTCACTTTGGTAAATTATTTTTCAACAGTTTCGTAGCGTATTCTTTCAAGTACTTTTTAAAGAGTCCGGCTAACTGTAATAAGGGCTGGCCAGTACTAAGCTGTGAGCATTGAACCATACACTTTTTATAAAATACGAAGAGATCTGCACAACTGGGCAATACAATGCCACCATCACTATTTTCGACAGCTTTTGGAATCCCTTGACTTTTAAATTCTTGAATAAATCTATCAATTAATTCTCCTAGGCTCCTAATACATGAGAAGTATATATTCTGATGAGTGTTTACGTAGATAACAACAAGTCAATAGTGTTAGCTATCTACTAAGATATAATATTGATTGACATACTTGTCCTGAGAATCTATGTAAAAGTATAAGTAGGGTTCGAAGCAACAAGATATAGAACCGATAAAAACCGACTCCTTAGACAATTTTGAAGTATCCTAACCAATAAAAATATTGCTACTAAGTGGAAGACCAGAATGAATGCTCACAGCAGTAATGAAAGTCATAGTAAGTAAACCTCATCTTTATCTTTAAATGGGTTTCCCGGTGATATTTCCTAATCATCCATTATTTTATAATAAGCAGTTAATTCGCAAATCACAACAAAGTAACCCAATTATACATCATGCTTGAAAGAGTGACCATCGCCTTACTTCTTCAAAATTACTACCGGCAAATCTTTTAGCGACTTGTGATTCAAAAGTAGTAGTTCGCTGAATGGCGAACAAAAGCAGCTTAACATCAAGATCTGATGCTCTCTCCGACATGATTTTACCTAAATTTTTTCTATAAAAGTGGTAAATGAATAAAATGATAATCATTAAGGTTGGTTTTACTATCTATTGAATGGACATGTAGTTAAACGACTAACTTGGTTGTTAAGCAAAAATCATATGTAATTCTTTCCTGTACGTGCCAGTGACCAGGAAATAGCTGTCCATATTCTTCTTCATAATTCATTAAGATACGTTTGAGCCATGTGTAGCGTCGATCAATTTTATCTAGCCAAGCAGTCTAAATAATAAATAACATCCAAATAAGCATACCCGTATTATATATATGTAATTAATAACAAGGCATCACAATTATACAGTAGTTTTCGATCTTATATTAGAATATCTGTTGAAAATCTGAGAGTAGATACGTACATCACCAGAATCATAGAATATAGTCAAGTAATCCGACAACTGTTGCTTAACAAACCAATTGAGTAATCGTTTCCTGCGTGATGTTGTTTATATCGCGGTAAATACATCATAAAATCGAGATTACAATAGAAAGAATCGTATCATCATCAACAATAACCTTATACTGATAACTTACTTTACTGTTGGATTTAAAATGTCAACGATTAGACAAGCTTCAGTTAGTTGCTTTAAATTAGGAGACTAAGAATTAAAGATATATAATGAATATTTTATAACATATTTGGGACACAAAAAATTTTAATCTAGGCTGAAAGTAATGAAATAATTCATTATAATAGTAATTCTACCTTCTTTTTTGAATCAGCAGATAAGTTCTCTTCAAAATCATTTTGAATTTGGGTAGCTAAGTCATTCTGAATTTCGGTAATTCTAAGCAAACAGAAACGATAGTTACAGTATAATATATCCAGATAGATTGCAATCTTTATCTGGACATAAATTATTTTACCTATCAGCTAATTGCTTAATTTGCGGTATGCCCATATATTTATCAAAGTGCTCTTTAACGTTTAAAACACCTTGCAATAAATTAGCAATTTCTCCATATTGACGGCGATGTGTTAGATTACTATAATATCAAACAGTTGAGATTATTATTGTGTATCTACGAGTGCCAACGTCATTAGAATATTTGACAAGACCGATTACTTACACTAGACTGTGGACTCCACCTACCAACATGTGTAAATGATTAAGGGTGGTAATAGAAGATGTTAAGTGGCGTTTAGCATGGTCTAATTGCTTGATATCACGAGTTATTTCTTTTACCTAGCAAGAAAAAACGAACAAAGACATTTTCACATTAAATTTCGTATATCTTAGATTGATTTTCAAAATTTCTATATAAAAGATAGTACATATGTATTATTTTACCATTTGCTCTGATTTATCGGCTTTCGATTTAATATCTAATATTTTAGAAAACAGCTCTGTGATAGCGTTTTGAGCTTCCTCTAATGCCTGATAATTATAATTAGTCACAGTCAATTAATTAGCGAAGCTTGATAGGATAAGAAAAATGAAGTCTCTTTATTCAGTATTGACCTGTCGGCCGTCACTTCCAACATTGGTTTGACTGCGAATGACAGTGCGAATTTCATCATCTAAACGACTAAAATATTCACGCTAATCAGATATACTGTAGTTAATAGGATGTTGGCGTAGATATATCTCTACCATAGCTAGCACCTTATTCATTTATGAACAGAGATAATTTTTAGCGACGATTACTCAAACGCTAATGCAAAAATTTAGTTTACACAGTGTAAGTACGGTATGTTTATTTTGTTTTCAGACATAGAAAAAGGGATAAAATATTACTGAAACTAATGTAATAATACTATACTTTATACCATTACGTAGCTATCTATACAAGAACAGTCAAAGCACATAGTAATAAATACTCTATGTACATTGCTATCCAAATGTTGGGAACGAAAATAAACACACTGTACAGCACTTACCCAATTTTCAAACGAATACGTTGGACAACATCATCAATGTTGGCTAAAGACTAGCAAAAGACATAGCATAACAAGAAATGTTATTATAGCTATCTTGGAGTTTTGACGATGTAGTATTTATACATATTGATATGCTTCTTTATAAAATTAAGAAATTCAATTGTGCAGCTCAGGTAAATCTTTAAATCTCCTATTAACTATCAAATCTTTGTCTAGTAGTGTACTCGTGAATTGAGCGGTCGAAGTACGATATTGATGATCAAAGCGTCGACATGTACGAGACTACGTAGTTGTAATAACCTGTGTATCACTATTTCCAGCCACTATTTACAGTAATATCCAACTAGACTGAGCAAATCGAGAATAGAGAACTAAAATAATATCTAGAAATCCTCTTGCATTAGTAATTTATCAAGAAAACAATACAATATAGCAGTATGAGAGTACAAACATACGCATCTGCGCAAAGTTTATCATGTACCTGCTCGGTAGGAAAAAGAGTATTGATGTATTCTACTGCATTAAAGTCAGGTGCATCTAGTGGATCATTACTGGGAAACAGCTAAAATAAAAGAATATTAGATATTAGCATATAAGAGCAACTTTTCTACTATGTAAGATAACTGATAAAATTACATAGTCATAATAACATCGAAATATCAATGCAGCAATGTAGCCTGAGCCTGGCAAACAAAGCCATGACAGTATCATCATGATAGAAATTTAAAAATCTCATAGTAGAATCATTGGCCAATAAAACATGAGTAAATGAATAACGTTAAGGCTTATCGTGAACATAAGATTGATCTCTATCTTTAACCTCTTTAATGGCTTTTTCTACATTAGGTGGGTATTTAATACTTGCTCCAATATCGTCGTCGATTAAATCATCATCATCACCCTGGACAGTTGCAGCCATCTTGCCAACACAGTTAACGTATGTGTTGCTTATGAGCATGCGTAGCTAATGGATGCACTTCATATGCTTTTTACTGTTGGTTACAGTATATTGACGTTATAGGAACAATCGAAAACTTCATATGCTGATAATAAATAGTGTACAGCATGCTATGTTTCCAGTATGGATAGTACAAGTCATTATGGTTGACAGATGTGTCTAATACATCACTTCAATTTGTAGATTACAGTATAGACGAGAGATCACTAGTACGACAACTGACCAATTGTAACTTAATTATTAATTAATTAATTAATTATAATAATTAATAATTCTATGGAATGTGTTTCAAGTTACTTTACTAAAGTTAGACTATGTTCAACATATTTGTTTGAAAGATTTTATTTAGTATGTCAACAGTTGCGCAATTTCCAAGGTATAGTCCATAGTATAGTGCAGTAAGACTTTCAAGTATGCTGCTATTAAACGTACAGAATCGCAATATATAAAAATAGAAAAGCTAATTGGAAATTTTTGAATATACATAATGACGAAATTATTTCGAATTGCCTACTTGCAGTACAGTGTATATTACTTTTGATAGCATTTTAGTAGACTACCTTTATACGCGGAAGTATGCGGTCGGTAGAGAAGCGCTTGACAGTATTTAGCGTGAAAAAGGATCTGAAAGCACAAAAAGAGAACATTGAAGAGTTGAAACGAAAGTATGACAAGCTCAGCAGCATAACAACGCTGTAATGCATTGACGACCGTCTGCAATACTCACTCATATAAACTTGCACTACTTTTGTTACTGTGCTAATATAATCTATTCTTGTGAAATTTAAATGGATTATATGTTACTAAGTTAGCCAGGTTATATATGAGCATTTGAAACAAGGCTGGTATGGTCATGACGATAATTTAGTTTTACAAATGTTAGAAAATACTTGCAATTAAAGTAAGTATAACAAAGAAATTAATTATAACCTGCATACATACATTTCTAAATGCGATCGGTCCTAATAAGAAATTTTAAGAGAATTGAATAATGTTATCGATTGGTATTTAATAACCATTTAAAGAAATTACTTATCAATCATATCTAACATATACAAAAAATAGACTTTTACTTGAAAATTATTAGTCATTTAAGTACATACTACTAACCTCGCCAATTTAGGTACACTGCACTGCAGCGCCAATTTCATAAGGCATACCTGTACTTTACTTGCACATACGAATATAACCTTTATACAATATCTTTTATCATACGTTTGTTTATCATGACATTCGATAAGCTGTATTATTCGTAATTCGTGGTATAGGCAAATGCCCGGGCATTTATCATCAATGGTCTTTTGTGGCATAGAAAGTAAATAAAAAGAATGGATCTTGATATCTAGTGAAACTAAATTACGTATAATTAGTCCGATAAGACAGACAGGACTTTACTAATTTGATGTTACAAATAGGCTACCCTGCCAATGTGAAGCACATTCATTTTCCAAATTGTTAATTTTATATGCATTCTAAGTATGCTCATTTTGACGCATCCAGACGCGAAAAGTGTTAACCTAATTAATCATCTTTTGTTAGTTTAGGTTGCACCTTTTAAGGCCAGAACTACAGTAGAACTGTAACCCTTATAGCTGCAGTAGCAAGTTGTAATTCTAGCCAGCACAATTCTACTTTACATTAATTTTCTGATGTAGTTTCATAAAAAAAAACGCATTTACGAGTGCTGGAGGTACTGGGGAGACGAACTGGCAAACACATTACTAAACCGCTAGAAGACCTGTTAGTAGACTAGGGTACAGTATAGGCGTAAAACACTAGTACCCGTACGTACTAGGAATAGACTGACACCGGTTTATTCGATCATATCGATTGCCGACATTGTCACGCCCACCTATCAGGTGCTCCCGTAAGCGATTACAGTACGTTAATTAAATTAATTAATAAACACCGTTACTAGCAAATCAAAACTGATTTGATGTTGATCAGAAATGCTGTTTTCCCTCTAAATAAATAGCTTGGCTGTACGTCTTAGCTACTTAAGTCGATGCTCTTATTAGCAAGGGAGTCTTTCATCTACTCAGAAAAATATTGATTGCAAATAGAGCAAAATTCAACGCGTCTACCGATCGAACTTTGAATTGAACCAGATTTCTAGTTTCTAAAATTGTTGCATTAACCATCTTTCTAGAACTCTATCTTGATTCAAATTATTGTACAACGTTAAAATTAATCTACTCGCAAGTCAGGAAAACTGCGATCAGTAGCTACTATCAGTTGCCGTACATACTGCAGTGCTCCAGCATCAAACGCGAGCCCAATCGGATCGCAAGTTTAGAAAAGTTGATGGGCAGCTTTCATCATCATCAGTTTGAATCTGCAGCTTCTATCAGCTATTATAGCATCAGGTTCTATCTACTTTTTAAAATTTTTACCTCGTTCACTCTCTTTCTATAACTCTACCTCGATCCAAATTATTGTACGTAGTGCGTTGTATCATACAACGTTAAGCTTAATCCACTCGCAAGTCAGGGAAACTGATCAACACCTTCATGTGAACTCCAATCAACAGCTACTATTAATTTAACCGTACATATTGTAGCATAATTTACTGCAACACTGCAGCATTAAACTCAAGCTCAACCTGATTACAGGTTTAGAAAATTGATTAGCAGCTTCTATCTGCTATTACAGCATTAGGTTACAGCTATTCACAAGTCCAGAAAATTAATCAACACCTTTCGTCATCAATTCGGATCAACAGCTTCTATCAGCTATTACAATATCAGGTTCTATCTATTCGTCGAGAGTCTAGAAAATAAGTCAGTACCTTTTTCATCACTGATTTCCATTGATAACTTCTACCAATAATTACTATTGTTTTTATTGTAATTATCTACTCAATACACCTGCAGGACTAGAGATTTACCTCTAGGTACGCGCATATTTTGATATAGACTATCGTACTTAACCTTATAACAAAAATTAATCAAATCATTCGACATGGACAGCAAGGAAAATCAAGGGAATACAGAAAAGAATGACAATATTAGTGACGTGAAGTCGCAAGACAATTTAGTTAAGTCACGTTATGGATGCTTATGGTTCCAACCAAATTGGTTGCAATTCTTCAATAGTCCAATCTGGTTAACCTTCATTATTGGCTTATATCAATTTTTATATCAGGCAGTATCTGGTTTTAAAGGTAGTACCATCTCAACATTAGAGAAAGGATTTAATTTATCAGCAACCGATATTAGCGTTATCACAATCTTTTTCAATGTTCCCAATGCGATTTGTGGGCTAATCTTTTCCTTCTTAGCTATTCATGGTCATAAAGGAAAATGGATGACTGCAAGTTTACTCATTGTCGGTATTGGTTTATTAACCTATGCTATGCCACATTGGATTATTGGTAGTTATCAAATTTTAAATCATTTAGTCTTTGGTAACAACGACGGTAATTGTCATCCTACCGGTACATCCAACAGCACACTTAATAGCACGTCCATACTTAGCTGTAATAGTTACACTAAAGCTTCGAATGGATTATACTATTTTGCTTTCGCACTTTCTCAATTTATAACTGGTGTTGGTGTTTGTACCTTACGTACAATCGGTTGGTCGTATATTGACGATAGTGTAAGCCCAACATCATCGCCATTATACATGGGATTTGTTTTAAGCATGCTTGGCTTAGGACCAGCTATTGGCTTTGTCCTTGGTGGTCTTGCTGCCAACACATTTGTTTACTGGCCACGACAACCTCCCGGTTAGTATTTTCAGAGTATGAAAATTATAAAAGTTCATAATGTTATTTCTATCTAATAGAAATCCTGTTATTAATTTATCTTGATGTTATCTAAATGACAGAATTGCCGTTTCCTATCTAACTGTCAACGATATTTGTATATTAAATGTTTTAGCTGGATTAAACCCTGACAGTCCACAATGGTTAGGTGCTTGGTGGCTAGGCTATGTGGCTTCCGGTAGTTTACTGCTTACCTTAATTATTCCTATGATAGCGTTCCCTCGCCGCCTACCCAATTATGAAATTTATAAAGCTGAACGAGAAAAACTAGCAGTGGGTAAATCTAAAGTCGACCGCGAATATGGACGATCATTCAAAGAATTTTTACCGGCCACCAAAGAAATACTCACTAATATCCCGTTTATGGCAACAGTAGCAAGTGTGGTTATCAAAAGCATTATGCTGTCTGGATTAGCGACTTTTTTGCCCAAATATATTGAATCACAGTTTGGTTTAAGGGCTGCGGATAGTAGTATATACGTTGGCATTATTATTATATTTGGATTATTCGGTGGTATGGCCGTGGTAAGCATAGTAGCGTACATATTGAACTATTTCGCATATTGCACAGTATTATTAATAGTGCTTTGAAACCTAGACTGTTTACAAAAATTAGCTAACGTAATTCTATACACCGCATAATAAGAGCATACAGTCAGTAGATATTAATACTAACTAAACGTTCTACTCTTAAAATGAAAACTTTTCAAATTTCTTCCAAAAGGGTGGCGGTGTAATGAAAGCTAAAAAGATGGGCGCAGTTTCTATTGCTAAATTTACATTCATCATTTCTGTCCTTGGGACCATTTCTGCTGCGCTCTTTTTCATGTTTAAATGTGACAATGCTAAAATTGCTGGGATTCACCGGTCACACACAAACACAAGGTTAATACCATTTACTTTTTCATCATTAGTCATTGTCAACCATCCTGTAAATTAATTCAGCTATAAAATCTTTTATATACTTAATAGTAGCCGTATAATTAGCAGCTCAAATTTGATATCCGCCTGTAATCGAGACTGTCAGTGCGGAATAAATACTTTCTACCCCATATGTGATTTGGAGAGCAAAATTACATACTTCTCACCTTGCCTCGCCGGTTGCCAATCGAGTCAGCGCAGTGATACATATAAGGAGGTTCGAAATATTCTTTGTCATGATAATGTAATTAATTTTCATTAGATCTATGTATTGGTTAAGTTGAAAATTTTCAGAGCGACTGCTTGCTGACATACTTTAAACAGAAAATTTGAAACATAGTTACTACACAACGAACTGCATAACATATAATGTAACAGGGCCTTGTTATTAACTTAATATTTTTATTTTAGGTGTACTATAATTGCAGTTGTATTCAGGGCTCAAGGCAATCCAATAGAACGTTTGATGCAATTAAGAATTATTGCCCCCGAAATTGTATTATTTTCATACCATTCTTAGTTGTAGTGGGTATATTGGTTTTCTTAACCTATATCAACTTAATGCTTGATACTCAATTACTTTTGAGGTAACGTTTAAGTTCAATCAAAATTCGATTCATATCGATCATACAGTATCGATATATCAATATATCAATAATTTGTACTGTACTTGTTTTACGACATAATACTTTATCTCTTCTAATTAATTATGTTTCCAAATCATTCATAGATGCGTACCAGATAGCCAAAAATCGTTTGCTCTCTCGATAGAATGGGTTTTCATCCAGCTTATTGGCACAACTCTGGGCCCGTTGCTAATTGGTTATTCTATTGATGCTTCTTGTATACTTTGGAATGAACAATGTGGTGAAAAGAAATTTTGTTGGTTATATAATAACGCAAATATGACAAACTGGATCAGTGGATTAGCTTCTTTATTGAGAGGTATTGCAACTATCTTCTCCTTCATCGCGTGGTATAACCTTAGGAAAGATGTTATGAAAGAAAAGATACCCATGGATGTATCTAACGGAAATGTTCCATTAAAAAATCTTATTGATAGCGAAACTACCAAGTCCCACAAACCATCTGCATCAATCATTTAGCATGAAGAAAATACAACTATCATAGCGGTAGTCTATTAAATAGGTTTTACCTAGTTTCTCTAAAGATTACTTCAACATATTACTTCCTATATTAGCAGCTTTTAGGTAATAATTAAGTTAGCTTTTCATTTAAATCAATTTTCAGTTAATTACTGCCATTAAAGTGATTGATTAAAATTATAATGAATTCAATTTTCTATGTGTTTTTAAATGCACTTTCCCTTTACTACTCTAGTCTTACGTTCTCTCCTAGATCAAAATTACCGATTTTAAAGCAATAATATCATTTCTATGCGTATAACTATTCCAATTTCGTTAACGCAGTTATAAAGTAACATTCTATACGTTTATTTGTTGAATATTCTTCTTAATGAGCTCTTTTTCTTTCGTCCCATAATTACGACGAGAAGGCAAGGCACTATACTATTATCTATTCAAAGCGTATGATAATTTTTATTTTTATTTTTACTTTATCAGTTACCTTCAGACATTTTTCTCAATGAGTTAAAGATTAATTAGCAATATATGATATATTGTTGATCCACGAAGCAGCGTATTATGCAAGCAGAAGTATATTAGTATTAGAAGCATATTAATGTACGTATGTAAAGCAATTTTGATTTGTCTAAAACTGTCGTATGACGTCTGCTTAAGGTTACTGTATCATTATGAACTCAGAAAATTCGATAAAAGTTATTGAGTTAGTGTATTCTTGTTCAGACTTTAGAAATGTCTATAATTCTCTATTCTACTGGCATACTATGCAATTTAATGCCTTTCTTTTCAGTTTCTTATCTTGAAATGATTTATTAATCATGAACTTTATACGAGTACAGTAGGTATAGAATGAAAGGCGGTTTTCCTTGCGCTTTTAAATTATACTATACTCATATCTTATAGAAATATCCAATAAATTCGATATGCTATTTCTAAACATAAACGAGCGATATCAATTTTGCTATCATTCTGGACGGCATGAATGTAGAATACCGTTGCTGATATGTTCTAATGCTTCAAAATTGCATGGATTACGGTTAATGATAAGTAGATCGAATTATAACCGAAGATTTGGATAAATGCTGGCACAGTCATAACGGTAATTTGATAGCATTACAAATATAAGGAAATATTTATAATTAGAGTTACAAAAGAGCAATTGCGATACATACTGTAGATTGCGAGCACGGCCTCAAGGGGGGAAAATTTGAAGCTTATTTATTTATTCCGTCGTTGGATAATTTCAAATAATATTGAATAAGCAATTTCACAAGTATAGAGAGCATAATAGCCGCATGAAAATGGCTTACGTTCATCATCTACGAGTACATGTCTATCTATTTTACCGTACATATAGTATATAAAAAGATGCAGGTTGCAAAATGATATGAAGGAGTTGGGAAAACATTGATTTAGCTAACTCAAATTGTTTTGCTAGATCAATTTTATTCGTTTATGCTGCATCTATTGAGGTCAGGAGTAGAGCTGCAACTGTCATGGCAACACTCGCGCAAATGTATGGAAACAGATCCCTTGATTGCGATATTGTGCTCCAGGTAGTTTGTTGAATTGACGTAAGACATGTAAATTAGATATCTTTCTTGAAATTACTACAGTATATCCGGTGCTAGAATACAATTTGAGTGGCAAAATCTAATTTCTATCGGCTTATGAGCCACGCCAAAAAAAGGATATTAAAGATGTCGTCGTTGGTCTCATATCCAACGCAATAATCTTCAACCATTGCTATGGCATCGATACTGACGTTTGCGTACTCTAATGACGTTGAGTAGAAGAAATTTTGTGGACGAAGTCTTCATACACAAAATGAACTCGTCTCTAACCCTAAACCATTATTATAGCATCAATACTCATATTTGCGTACCATTATGGCATTGAGTATGAGAAATTTGATTATTGTGCGATCACTAGGAAACATCGATTAAACAAATAAAAATTCACTTAATATTGACCCAATTTGCTACTTTTTCCTTGACTTTATATCAACCTACGATTGAGGATTAATCTTCAGCCGATACCTTGGTTCTACATCTTGGGAAGGTTGTATTGAGGTAGGCTAACTTATGATCTTACTGGGTATGATAGCCATTGGAAGATGATACTGTTGTTTGAATGAATCTTCTACTCGTTCAATAGAATCTTGCTATAAAAGAACATGGCTGCGGTGGACACTGTATAGTAATAGAATATCAACCTCAATCTACTGGTAAATCTGGAAAATTGATCGAAACCCTTCATCTATTATCGTTCATTCCAATTGGAAAACTTCCATCAGAGTATTGAATTACGTAGTGGACTACCCACACCTACCTCAACCTACTCGCAAGTTTGGAGAATTAATCAATCATCACCTTTCTTCAACGTCCATTTCACTCAATAGCTTCTCAGTTTTTCTGCCGCATATTCAACTGTAATACTGACATTATATTGTACATCAATAAGCTCAATCCATTTGCAAGACGGAAAATTAATCAACACCTTTTCTTCGTCATCAAATTTCAATTAATAGTTTCTATTGGTCTTGATTCAATTTTGAATGATCCAATTACTATACTAACAACAAGTTGATCCAATCATTCAATATGGAGAACCAAGAGAATCCAGGAATTATAGCAAAGAATGATAATACGAGTAACACGAAATTGAAAGACATTGTGGCTATATCAACAACCCAGACTAGATCACGCTACGGTTGTTTATGCTTCCAACCAAATTGGTTGCAATTCTTCAATAGTCCAATCTGGTTAACCTTCATTATTGGCTTATATCAATTTTTATATCAAGCCGTGTCTGGCTTTAAAGGTAGTACCATCTCAACATTAGAGAAAGGATTTAATTTATCAGCAACCGATATTGGTGTTATCACAATCTTTTTCAATGTTCCCAATGCGATTTGTGGGCTCATTTTTTCCTTCTTAGCTATTCACGGTCATAAAGGAAAATGGATGACTGCAAGTTTACTCATTGTCGGTATTGGTTTATTAATCTATGCTATGCCACATTGGATTATTGGTAGTTATCAAATTTTAAATCATTTAGTCTTTGGTAACAACGACGGTAATTGCCATCCTACGATCACCAACCATACGCTTAATAGCACGGCCATCATTAGCTGTAATCACGCCAATTCCTCCAATGGATTATATTATTTTATTTTTTCACTTGCTCAATTTATAATCGGCCTTGGTGTTTGTACCTTACGTACAATCGGTTGGTCGTATATTGACGATAGTGTAAGCCCAACATCATCGCCATTATACATTGGATTTGTTTTAGCCATGTTCGGTTTAGGACCAGCTGCTGGCTATGTCGTTGGTGGCCTTATTGTCAACACATTTGTTTACTGGCCACGACAACCCCCTGGTTAGTATTTTTGAGCGTTAATTTACTTTTCTCCGACATCACTGCATCCGTAATCAGATTAGATTATTGAATTACTAGATAATAATATAGGGGCAATTTATTCAATTTCTCCTTCTTTCATACTTATAATCGTCAAACTATGTACAGTAGATACGGGCAGAATACAATATCGTGATTGTGAATAAAGGTTGTTTAACCTACCTACCTTTTCAGTATTAAAACTATAAAAGCTTAAAATTTTACTCTCTTCCTGTAGATATAATGTTCTCAATTTGTCTTACTGTTGTCTAATGGTAGAATTATGCTTTCCTAGCTAACTGAAACAATATATTAAATTCTTTAGCCGGATTGAATACTGACAGTCCACAATGGTTAGGCGCTTGGTGGCTAGGTTATGTGGCTTCAGGTATTTTACTACTTATCTTAATTATTCCTATGATAGCATTCCCTCGCTACCTACCCAATTATCAAACTTATAAAGCTGAACGAGAAAAACAAGCCGTAGGTAAATCTAAAGTCGACCGAGAATATGGACGATCATTCAAAGAATTTTGGCCAGCTACCAAGGAGTTACTTACTAATATACCATTTATGGCAACAGTAGGAAGTGTGGTTGTCCAGAGCATTATGCTGTCAGGATTATCCACCTTTATGCCCAAATATATTGAATCACAGTTTGGTTTAAGGGCTGCGGATAGCAGTGTATATGTTGGTATCATTCTTATAATTGGATTATTTGGTGGTATGGTTATTGTAAGTACTGTAAATATTCGTAATGTAATTATATTATTGTATGTAACACTTTAAAACTAGGACTGTTTATGAAATTGACCAACATAGTACCATACACTGTATAGTACGTACTGCAGAAATTGATTATAAATATATCCTCTCCACTTAAAACCAAAACTTTTCAAATTTCTTCCAAAAGGGTGGCGGTATCATGAATGCAAAAAAAATGGACGCACTTTCCATTGCTAAATTTACACTCATTGCCTCTATCCTTGGCGCTATTGCTGCAGCATTCTTCTTCATACCTAGATGTGACAATCCAAAAATAGCTGGAGTCTATCTATCATACGCAAATGCAAGGTTACATGTCATTTACTTTTTCATTAAAACTATCTAAAATCTCTTTCGCTTAACTTCACTTAACGTAGCTTTCAATTTTCTAATATTACATGTGATAGCAGTGATATAACTGGTAGGCCAAATTTGGTATCCACCTGCAATCGAAATTGTCATTGTGAAATAAACACTTTCAATCCAATATGCGACATGAAGAACAAAATTACGTACTTTTCACCTTGCCATGCTGGTTGCCAATCAAAACAACCTAGTGAAATGTATAAAGAGGTTCGAAATATCGCTGTTTATCTTACTAAAATCAACTTCATTATTAGACCTTTGTGTTTTAATTAAGCTATAAAACTGTTTAAAGTATTATAAACAGATGCACAAAATTTATAACTGAAATTACAAATACGGGCATTCTATGATGAATCGTATAAATGTGACAAGCTCTATTATTATTTTTAGGTGTACTATAACTGCAGTTGTATTCAAGGCTCAAGACAATTAAACGCAACGTTTGATGCTGTTAAGAACTACTGTCCTCGAAATTGTACTGTTTTTGTACCTTTCTTAGTTCTGTTGGGTATTTTAGTTTTTTTATCATATCTAAACTTAGTACCTGCAACGCAATTAATTATAAGGTAATATTTAAATTACATCAAAGAAAGGACTAATATACCTTATTTAGTTCGTACTTCTGTACATGTATAGACTACGCTCGCGGGCTTATTCTATTATAGGTATTGACATATTATCTGCTTTAATTAATCATGTTAACGTATTATTCACAGATGTGTTCCGGACAGCCAAAAATCTTTTGCTCTCTCTGTAGAATTTTTTTTCGTTCAACTTATTGGTACAATTCCAGGCCCATTACTTATTGGTTATTTCATTGATACATCTTGCGTACTTTGGAATGAACAATGCGGTGAAAGAAAATTTTGTTGGTTATACGATAACGCAACCATGACATATTGGATCGGTGGCTTAGCTTGTCTGTTGAAAGGTGCTGCTACCTTCTTCTCCTATGTGGCGTGGTACTACCTTAGAAAGGATGTTATGAATGATAAGACACCAATGAATATAGGTAACGGAAATATTTCATCACGTAATTTCGAGGGTAATGAAACTACAAGGCTCCGTAAACTATCCGCATCTGTCATTGAGTGTGAAGAAAATGCAACCACGGCAGTAGTGGCCTCCTAATACAGATTTTACGACGACTCTATGGATCCTTCAACATATTATTTCCAATATTGATAATTTTTAAAGTAACAATTTATTTCTTTTACCTAATTTATGTCTAATAGCAGTATCCTAACTATAATTAATTGAAAATTATAATTGACTAGATTTCCTAACTATACTTTTTGGGTGTAATTACTATTCTCTGCTTTAAACTTTATTTTCTCTTTTAGATCAAATTTATCAATATTAAAGCAGTAATATTATTTGCTGTATAACTATTCCGATTTCGCTAAAACAGTATTATGATCAATATTCATTTACTCATTCACTATTCTTCATATCGAAATTTTCTCATACTTTACATAAGTATTATGCAACGAATGTAAGACACTATTATCTGTTCATAGTATATAATAATTATCGTGACAGGCATTTATTTTATTTATACTTATATAGTAATTTAAATATCATCATTTCAGAGACTTTCAAGCACTTCTGTAAAATGAGTTAATTTTATTGATCTAATTTAAGTCTGTAAATTTCTGTACTCTGAAATATTAGCGCTACCAGTAAGGTATCATTGCTGATCCATTGAAGCAATATATATGCAAACGGATATACATACTCGAAGCTACATTGAGCTGTATAAAATCATCGGACAATGCATGTTGTCTATAATTAGACTAAAGTTGCTATACCTTTGTAACTTCAGAAATATGATCGACTACATAGTCAAAGTATTCTTGTTCAGTCAATGTGGAATGCTTATACTTTCATGGTTTACGCTATGTAATTTAGCTTTTTAAACTTTATGCGATCTAAATCATATTTCATAGAAATATTCAATAGATTCAATGCCATATTTTTAAAGTTTAAGCGGATTGCTTTTAGTTCTTGGAGTTTCATGAATGCATGCATAATGCTATTAGTCTTTAGTCCTTTAAGATTTTATTAATTACTTAAATCAGGATACAGGTGAGGCTTTAAATAGTACTTCTGGGTTAATAGTGCTAACTTGGATGTAATAAAGCTAATTCTTAGGGTCCACAATAAATTACTATCTGAATTTATAAAAGCAAATTAAGCTTTATTACAATAAAATCAAATGGTGACTGTATCTACAGCAAAATACCGGCTAGAAAAACTTCCGATCTTTTCAATGCATATACTTATAAGTTCTAGTGCATTACCTGTTAAGTATCGGTAGTAGCATTGCTGTATCATCACGCTTAATACATACATTCACGCTTTCATGCGCCTATTACGTAATTAGAATACCATATCTTTCCGAGATACGAGCAACTAATCATATCAAACTACACAAGCATTGCATCTTACTGTAGTATGTACTGGTAATTTCGATGCTAATTAGGAAATTTTTTCAATGCTAAACTCAGGGCACTATACTTGATATCGTTATGGAAGTGAGAAAACATTTGAGGCTAGGGTAATTATGAAAATGAAATTAAAATATATGCATCTATTTTCGTATTCTAACAGTGACAACCTAAGAAATAATTTTAAGTTTATTAAATATTCCCGACAAATAAAAACTATCGACAAGAAATTTCCAATTATCCATATCTACTGTATGTAAATAATGGATATTTTCATTCCGAAATTGTTAGTCGTTTAACATACCACTGAATATTTACCTATAGATTTATGATCTATTATAATATATCTTATATACTACGTTTACTTATCGTAGAATATGGTAAACTGCTTTATCCATTACTGATAGTTTAGCTTTTGATCAGAAATATGAGATAGATAAACGCCTTTCGATACCTACTATCAATAGTCTTATATATAAGAAATAAAGACAGTTGATCATGCTATCTATTGAGACTGAAGTCTTAACAATCTAATATATAAATAGGATACGACCTCACTAGCTCGATCATAAACCTTAAACATTAGATTCATACTCAATATATGGATAGTATTCCAAACTTGCTAATCCATTAACAGTAATTCTTGTCTTTGATACATCCTCATCATTAACTTTAGTCTCGGCCGAAAAATTACCTTCACTCTTCAAATTTTCATTTTCGATCGCGCTGTATTTTGCAATATCACGATTCAAAAAATACCATGCTAAGCCAGAACAGACCGTAGAAAAGATTTTCATGGTAGCTACAGCTCCAGCTAAACTGAAAGCTAAGGCAGTATTATCATAGATCCAGCAGAACTGTCTACTTCCACAATCTTCATTCCATAGCATACACGCACTATCAATGAAATACCCTAACAAAATTGGACCTGGAGTGCTTGCTAAGAATTGAATAAATACCCACTGAACAGCTAGAGCTAATGCACGTTGACTTTCTGGTACACATCTAAGAAAGGTAAATCGATTATTAAATCAAATATTGCTGTTTTAACTGCATAACAATATGAATATGTATCAAATAATGATTGAGGTGATAAGCAATTGTATATAAACGTTTTAAGAGCATATTAGTAGTTTCATTACAAAACGGTTAAATCTGTAACTAATAACAGTTTCCTATTCATTAATTAACATTCTATCAATATATCGTCTTATTCATAGCTACTATCGCATGAAAATCGCTTTAGAGTAGCAGAACCTAACATCTTTATATATAATAATCAATATCACAATAATTTTATTTTGACTGATAAAATTTTTACCTGATAACGATCTGAAATGATGGTATAAAGCTGCAGTAAACTAGAAAAGAGAATAGTACACCAAAAGCTATGAAAGCTGGCAATGCTTTGCATGCACTCGGACAATAGCCAAGGATAGTTTGGCCTAAATTATCACTTTCCGCTGGTGTCGATACCACAGTTTTACTTAAACAATTGCATTCTTCGAATAACTAAAAGCCGAAAATGGTTATTTTTAAACAGCTTTAAATTATATTACTAAATCATCAATAATCATATTTATGCTTGCCAATGTAATAATAACCTACCACGCTGCCACGATTAATTCTAGTTTTTGATAGACACCCAGCATGGCATGGGGAAAAGTAAACTTTTCCTAGGTTGCGATCGCATACCGGTTTAAAGCTGACTGAGTTGCAGTGACAATTGCTATTGCAAGTAGCTGTTAAATTTGCAACCAATAGGACACTGCTATTATCAATCGAGTTGCTAATGTTCCTATCGTAAAATCGATTTGAATTAGAATTGCAGAAGCAGCTTACTATTAACTTATATAATAGTAATTCATAATCTATAGTATAAATTGTTAATAATGCTTTATAGTATTCAGTTTAAATATTAAATTCTAAATTTATTCTTCCATGGTTAGTTTAAAAAATGATCTATAATTATCCAGTAATGCATAATAATTATATCTTCGAAGGTTATAGATGTCCAACTTACATTTTGTGATCATATGCAGCGTTAATTCCAGCAATTTCGGTACTTGGACATCGAGCAATAAGAAAACCTACTGCAGTTAAAATACTTAAAGCGGCTGATATGCAAGCAAGCTTTGCTAGAGCTAACACTTTTAGCTCTCTTAACTTGAACACCCATCCTCCCTATTGCGTAAAACATATAACAGTATAAATGTAAACATCAAAGCTGAATACATGTTGGAGACTCAACCATCAAATTAAAAAATCAGTTATTAATTTATTTTTAATCTATAACTAATGAATTTCTACTGATTCACGTAACCAGCTATCATCTACTGATCTTACATATTACATATATAATCTTTATTGCAATATTTCATGTCTACGTACCAAAATAACTCCTATCAACATTCCTGCTATAACAATTACGCCAGAATATATATTTGCAGTTCCTGCCGTAATACCATATTGGGTTTCGATATATTTAGGAAAAAAGACCCCAACGGACGCTAATACAATTAAATGACCAACCAAGCTTAAGACAGTAAATAGAAACGGTAAATTGCAAATTAATTCCTTAACGGCTGGTATGAGATCCTTGAAACTTTTTCCATATTCTTTATCGACTCGTGATTTACCAACGGCTTGCAATATGCGTTTTTCCTTATATCGTTCATAATTAGGTAAATGGCGAGGCATCCCTAGCAGTGGGATAGCTAAAATAATGCATACAGTACCAGCAAATGCGTAACCCACCCACCAAGCACCAATCCAACTCGGACTTTCAGGTGTTAAAGTTGGATCTAGTAACCGATGAACATTCGGAAATTAAAAGAAAGTAAAATATTACCAGTAGTAGCCATTAAATTACCGCTAAATGATCGTAAAATTACAGTTATATCAATATCGAAACAATTTATTAAATTATATTAAACTATAGTACAACATACACCTATTTCTATTTCTACTTAGAGTCAATTAATTACTTACCGGTAGTCTAAGCAATATTATCTTGCTAATAATAATAAAATAATGGGTTTAAACTATATTAAATTTCAGGACTTTTCTATTCATTAAGAATTAAATTGGAGTTATAGGCTAATATCATTTACACAAGGGGTAAATGATAATCGTTACATCTGATTATAATGCATGGTAGCGGTGAAGTTGTTACAACTCATGACATTCAATAATTTGGGAAAGATTAGAAGTTAAGTTTTTACTATCATGTCTCGAATTTTCCTTCTTGCTAATTAACGTAGAAGAAATATCAAATAATAAAACTAAAACTAATTATGATAATATTATCAGATGTTCAATATTGGATCTACTGATAAAAGTAGTATAAAAATAAGCAAAAGCTAGTAGTCAATATGATCTAAATCTTTGGAATTATTAATTATTCTTATTGAAAGTTTTTTTATATCAATTTATAAAATTCCATGTTAATTTTCGATCAAGATAAGGGTAAGTAAAATTATGGCATCAACTCTGTACTTCTTGAAAATATAAAATTTAATTTATTCCTTCATGCGATGGCGACTAACATCGAAACAATTTTTAACTCAAGTGTATTGAATTTTATGACCTTTAAATCAATATCTACCTCACAAGAGAGAAAGTAAAAGGCTCTTAAATACGACTCCTTTCGAACTAATTGATATATCGTCCTATGCTGCACTATTTCTTATACGATAACTTATTCAGATATTATGTAGTCGGAAGATGGGAAAGGATAATTTATATGCTACGCAAACGATTTTATTCACCTGGTAATTTTGTCGGCCACTCGCCATATATGTTAATGGCTACTCCACCAACTGCGAAGCCAAGAGCTGTACCAAGACCAATCATGGATAAATTGTATGCAGTATAGGCAGGAGATATGGTAGGACTAACATTTTCATCTAAGTAAGACCATCCTAAAGTTCTCATAACAGATGTACCAGCACCAATAACAATAAATCCAATTGCAAAGAGAGCAATATATAAAGATTTATTAGCTATTTGACCGCCACAAATACCGGTTACAGTAGCAGCTTTTTCAAGGCTACATAAATCTGTGGCACTGTTATTGCCACTATAAGAATCTAAGACCGAATAGGAATTGATCAAGAAATGAGGTAACATATAAATATAACATCCAAGGCCAGTCATGATAACAGTTACACCAATCCACTTGCCCTTGTGGGCATGAGCTCCTTTATGAGCAATTAAAACACCAAAGAAAGCTTGTGATACGCTAAAACAAGCTGCAAGACCACCAATATCAAAACTGGTTAAACCAAAACCTTTCTGTAATGTACTAACGATACTAGAATCATAACCAGAAGTAATGATACTATAGGTAAGTTGGCACATACCAACCAAGAAAGCTAAAAATTTACGATGATTAAAGATTTGTAGCCAGCTTGGACGGAAGCAAAAACACCCATACTGTAGTTCTGACGAAGGATCAACTTCTTGTTGGCTATCTTCTCCGGCTACTTTAGCGGTACCTTGATCCTCTTCCACTTGTAGATCATGACAGCTTTGTTTTTCTGCCATCTCTGTACTATGTTGATCTTCTCCCATGTTAACAAAATAGAAATTATTGCACTCGATGATATAATAATCCTAAACTACGACAATATTTGCACCTGTTGGGTCATCGATCATTACCACAACAAGAACAAACTAATTTAAGAAAGATGATAGGAGTTTTATGTTTTTTAACTCTATCTTTTTAATTATTTCCCCCCTACCTTATTGTACTCAAGCCGTAGGTAGTGCCCTATTTTAAATCCGATGACCTACTGAATTAAATAGATTCACTGCTGGATATCCAAGGTAGATCATAATAACTTTGCCAACATAATAAACTTTAATAAAGATCGAAATAGACTTGTTTTTCTTTGCATTGTTTCAATAGGCTTAGCGGAAGATTCAATATCATACAATTTATGCAGTTTTAAGCTAAATAATTGATTAATATTTTCAATCAATCCATTACTTAATTAGTATAGACCTTGTACACAATTAGCGAAATCATTGAATCTCTATTTTAAATACATAGACAAGTTATGTCAAGACAGACAGTAGTCCTACTGTGCTTCAGCTTTAACTCTATGGAAATATTATTAGGCAAGAACAGGATTAGCTATCATGCTGTTTATGCGAGCTAGGACCCATTTTAATATCCTATTATCTTCAGCAAAGGTCACATAAAGATTCTGCTTAATAACTACTGGCATTATTATCATTCTATCAAGACGATATGAATATACGGTCAAATTAATCGGTTAACCTTCTTCGATAATACTACCGGTACGTCTTAAAAATGAACTTTCTTGTATTGGGCATTGCTTGTACCCTGTCTGATATATAAATTAGAACGCCTACTCATTATCACCATAACCTTTTCAACTTGGGTATGACCTTAGATAGGATTAGGGTTAGGTAGGTCATACCTAAAGAGTTTAAAGTCTAAGTCTTGATAATCTTCGTACTTATTCATGAGAAATGTTATTATATAAAAATATAATATCTGTAGACTATAATTTTATTTTCTGAAGTACAATGGTAACGGAGTTCAAGATTCCTCGTGACCAGAGTTATAACTACAGTCATGATTAACTTTTTGTCAACTCATCTATCATAGTATAGAGGATAACAATTAAGTAGAGACAATCTTAATTCGGCTAACTAGACATGGGATAATTCTCAGTAAAGTGAAGGTCTCTTAAAAGCTTTTAGAAATTATAATTTTAAGGCTGAATGTCACACACCACTAGTGACAAAGTAGTCTACACACGCCAATCCTTGCAGAGAACGCCACTTACTAACTTAAAGAGGCGAGATTAGCTATATCACCAAATAATTCAGTTCCAACGACCGAATACTATGGTATAATTATAGCGTCACAGATAGTATAGACGAGAAAGTCAGAGATTTACTATCATTTAATACTGAAGAAATCTCGGCACCCAAAATTATAGACTTTACAATTAAATATCAATCGAAAAACTAGTTGACGATCCAACCGACTAACTAACTAAAAAAGGGATCTTCAGGCACCATTCTTTTATAGTCTCGTCAGAAACTCCTGGTGCACATAAAATAAAACTATCCTTTTAAAGTTACGCATCGTAACACTGAACCATATTATTTAGTCGGGATAAGGTCATGTTCATATTTCGTTGAACTTAAAATTATCTACCGTCAGATCTTTATAAGCAATTTTATAGCAATAAGAAAGAAAAATGCCAGATTCTGAAAAGCCTCTATAGTAAACATCGCAAAAACTTAGTCAGATCGATTCTATAGAGAGTATACTGTGCAATACAGTATATCGCATCACACTTGGTTCCTGGATTTTATCAGCAATACTTTATACTTGTCTCTACACTTAATCCTACAAAGTATCTGAAGAATGCTTATAAAACTACATTCCGCTAATGTAATCATCATTATTCGGCGGGCATAAATATCATTCGTTTTGCTATTGGCATATACAATTTATGCACCTTTGCACTACATTATTTCTGTGCCAATAGAATTTCAATCATCATTCTCCGTAAATAGGTTAAAACTATAATCTGGCAAACAACAATTATTGTCATGTAGTGAACGCAGGTGTTATTCTTTTGCTACTAGCCTATACATCTTTATATTAGATCATTTCTATATAAATAGCTTTCTCAGTCATCACTCTTCACAAATAGTCTTACACTACAACCTGTCAAAAAAAATGCAGCGAGTACAAATAAATATCATTCTTTTTTGCGCTGTAGACATGCACTACTAAATAACTATGGAGTATTTAGTATTTCATGTACAAGATTATTTCTGTGTAGACAGTTTCCTCAGTCATTACTCTTCACGAATAGTCTAAAACTACAAACTGCCAATGTTAATTATGCAGCAGGTACGAACACATATCATTCTTTTGGCTACTGCTTTACATATCTTTATATTAGATCATTTCTCTATGGTTAGTTTTCTTAATGATCACTCTTCGTAAATAGTCTAAAACTACAAACTTTCAAAATTATTTACTGGCATGAACTACCAAATATTTATGGTGTATTTAGCAGTCTATGCCTGAAATCAATTCTGCGGGATAGCTCCTTCAGTCATAATTTCTCCCCCCCCCCCCCAAAAAAGGCCGCCAAACTATACTATAAGTCAAAAATATGGAAGTATCAGCATACATAGAGCGCAAATATCACGATATTGAGTTTGTATAGCATTACTACTGTATGGAATAAGGAATTAAAACTACTATCTATCTCACTATACCATTTTAATCAAAGCCACCAATACGTAAAATTTCCCAAAGATTTATCTTGTTACGGCTAATAATGGCGACTATGTTGTTTGTCTAATTTACAACAAGCATCCAATAATGTTGCATCATAAGCAATTAATAATAGTATCATGTAGTGCTAATGACTCCATTGTAGGTATCAAAGCTATATTGCCGATGTAATTAATTACAATATGAACTTAATTTCTGTAATAGTCGTCACGTTGATCTGTAACAGGCAATTACTTCATATTATTATTTTAAAAGCAATGCAAACTAATTAATCTATAAAAAAAAGACGAGAAATAATGATTATCCTATCGAAGAGGTGTTATCGAATCGTTGAAAATGGACTTTTAAAGAGGTACTAGCTATTCAACGTAATGCTAGAATAGAGCAAATAATAGGCTTTCTCCTAAGCTGTAGTAGATTCGTACTACTTTATCTTTTTGACAGTTCTTACAGGGTAGAAATTGTAGATATAAACTCAATATGATATTTTACAAAGATAGATCATTAAATTATTATTTTAAAACAATTTAAAAGGTCAAGCCTTTACGGCTTAATCATGCTAGCCTAAAATTAAAAGGTAGCTACGGTGTGCTGCTTGTACACAGAAATAAATAAGGTTTAAATAAATGTAAATCAGGCTGCTATAATAAAGTTAATTAGCATAAGGAGAGCCATGTCAATGGTTGAAAATTAAAATTGAGAGGATGGAAATCTTTTGCAAGTTACCAAGAAAAAATGGAAATATCGTGAACATATTGAATATTACAATAATATAAAGATGTGCAAAGACAATATACGGTTCCAAAAGTTGTGAAAGCACTGCTAGAACGATGGTGAAATCGATTTATACCCATATCCAATCTTGGATTCGGCAATAATTCGATTTCTAATGACTGCATTTTAGTTAATTTTTATCCTGCATCCTTTTATCAATCGTCTTTATTTAGAAGATTTTAAACGTAATGACTTACATAGGAAAAAAAAGTCAGTTGGGACATGTTGAGTAAAAATAACATCCCCGGCTTTACGATGCTTAAAAATAACAATTCAAACAACTGAATCAATATTCATAAAGTAGTGAAAGTAACAAATAAATTAATTAATATCATACATAATTATCGAACACAATCTTGACAGTTTTGATAATACAATCAATTCATATTGGATAGCCAACAACAAGTTACTTATATACTCAGTTAAAGCATGAACTATCTGCATAAAAATTTTAATAACATTTTTACCCCAACATTTAAGATATATTCTTATTAATCTTTTCCTTGATTATCTATGTATAAGGCCATCACATAGTACCAAGCTATCTTACTGTGATCGCGATAAGTTGAACACAACATAAAAAGTGGATAATGGCCTACAATCTCTCGCAGATTGTTTGTAAATTTCTCTTTAAATTTTGCCAAAGTCTTTAACAGAGTTTTTCATTCCTCTAATTTACAACTTTTTCATCACTTTCAATTTCACCATGTTCACCATCATCCATACAGCCATCTATATTAGAGATGAATTTCTTTTTTTTTCGCTGAAGATGAGCCATTGCTAGATACTTTATCTTTATGATCGGCGAGATGATAACCGTTTGTATCGCCATTTCTATCGCTATTTCTATAGGTAATATCAATATATTCCATGCTGAATTTAGTTGAATCCACATCGGTTATATTGTGTTCTCCAGAATTATGCGATCGATATTTAAATATAAGAAAGGTACCAATAGCTCCTAAAATGAGAACAACCACAATGACGATAGCAACAATAACGCCAGGATCAACAGTCTGAGCTACTGGTGGGGAAATGGAGCCAGAAGTTGCTGTAGGTCTAGTACTAGGAAAGGAAGACCAATAACTTGGTGGAGGTCGAGTTAATTTATCGAAGCAAACATTTTCATACACTCTACTGCTTGGATTTCTTCTATTAGTATGAATGATGATGTTCGATGGTCTACCAATATTGAATGCGATATCGAGAATACGAACAGAGGCAAAAGATACGTTATCCACACAGAAAGATGACGTAGGAGAGTTATTGATGTTGCCTAATCTGATCACGCCATTTTGTAAGCTAGAAATGGTATTCACTTCGCTAGTATATAAAACCACTCCATCAACAGCTAGCGATCCATTCGACGGTACTATCGTCACATTATGTTTAACTCCATCATTAACAGTTAATGGCAGTTGAACGATAGCGCTATTAATGCTATACATTATACGACCATTGCGTAAACTAAAGCCTAAATAAATATTACTGGCATTGATAGTCATGAGAGCAATATCACTTTCTGTAGTGACAAATGAAAAGAGGATGTTATGATGTTGTTGGCCAGAGACAAAATTGACATTAGGTGATGTATATTGAATATAGCCATCTCCTGCAATGCTGGCACCCTTAACTAAAATAATTAAAAATTTAATTTTACATTTAATTTCACATTCAAAATTAGTGACCTTATAAGCTTCTATGATATAGTGTCTTTAAAGTAATAAAATAAGAACCACAGGTTCTTGTAAACTTCACTTTTTACATCAATTAGCTTCATCTTACAACTAACAAGGACTATCTAGTTGCAATCAGACTATCTAAATTATTACAGAAAAATTCACCATTTATATACAATTCGTCACAGAATGATTAATCTTGCACTCAAACACTTAGTTCTTCTATTCTCTTTTGACCCTATAGAGTATAATCTTAACCTAATTTAGGCTACACTGCGGCTTCTTATTACGCCTACTTATTAAGATATTCTTAATCGTTTATACTAGGAAAATACTATAGGGATAAAACATGATTTATGGCTTTCGTTAATTCGTTCATCACTATAGTTATCGTGTAAATTTCGTAAACGGTTTTAAGTCTATCTACGACTGTGGTATTACTAAATCGATCAAAATACTTTTCAAATTTCTTTAAAATAACTATTAGCACTAATTTCAATTCCTATAGCTTGCAATAGCTATGATGTTTAAAACTATATTATAGTAGTTTAGTAGGCAATATATTTTACTCCAAAAACAAATAGGATTCTCATAGTACAAGATATTCAATTTAATCTTACCATAACTACATGTTGATCCTGTATAACTTGATTGAGAGCAATTGCATGTAAATGAAAACAAATCACCACTACATGGATTATTATGCTTGCATGGCTTATTATAACAGGCATCAGCACATCCAGATCGGAGACCTTTTTGACCAGGTCTTGCAGCCAAATTAGGTAAATCGAGCAATTTATAATCGATGATTAAATCGCCAATGCAACCAGCAAATCCTGTTTGGCTATTTATTGGTATATCAATCAATACATTAGCAAAATTGCACTATAAATCACGGAGTAATTAATTAAATAAATTTATTCTAATGGAATAATTATAGTACATGAGCAATAAGTTGCTGGCAGATGATAAATTTACGCGTTCCAGTAACAAATTATAAATCATAAAGCAATTGACTAGTTGCATATCAATACATGAAAGGGGCTGTATTTATCGACCTAAGGATGAAATAACCAGCTAATAAGTTCTAAATTGTGATGATATACAGTAATTTAATGCCTATAAAGTTCTTGAGAAATTGAAATGAGGTTAAAGAGTACAAAATTTTGAATGTTAATTGCACGTAAACACTAACAAAACTGATGGATAGCGGCAGTCAGTTATGATATTACGTGTATTTCATTACAGATATTGCCGTTTATGGACTAGTCATTTGCTTACCCAATTAAGTTAGAACCAATAATAAGTGGGCCATTGATGTTCGTAAATCGATGATTTTGTATACCATGAAGATTAATATGGTTTCGGATGGGCAAGCGATCGATTTGAAGAGACGCAATTCCAGGGAAAAACTGAATTTTAACCATATGCCACTGATTATTATTAAAAAGTTGACCTTGTGATGGCCGGCGAACAACAATTTTACTATCGCTAACAGTATGGCCATAGTTATACCTCAATTCAAACTGGTCTGCAGACATTTTAATTGTAAAGTAATCAAAGGATAATCCTTTATAACTTAACAGCGTACCAGCAGATACTTGAGTTTTAAAATAAAATTGAATCGATGTTTTAAAATATTTTCCCCAGTCATTGATCAGTAGGCCATGAGTAGTGGACGATAGAGTAATGATATTACTCGGCTGAGCTAAAATATCAAAGGATAAAAAAGTAAAGAAATACTTTATAAAATGTACGGAAGTCGTTATTCATTTTGTTATTTTTCAATTAATAGAATTGCAAGTTTTGACTATCCTATAAAATTAAAAGTAAATTGAAAATGAACTACGATCAAAGTACATTCCTATCTCAGTATGCGTTTATGCTTTACTTCTAGTTAGTTACTTTAGTTTATGAGTGTGAAATTGACAACGGTTATAGCTAGATATCATTAATTTGACTTTATACGATTGATAATGATCAATCTAAAGAAAAATCAAATCAAAAGAAAATAATTGGCAACTGTTCGATTTGCCTTATGACCAGATATTGTTAGTACGCGTATAGCATTTATAACATAAACGAAATTGGTAATCCATCTTAATAACAAACAGTAGTGCAAAAAATAAATTCTCAATAAACTCTAAATAAATTTAATGATCTACATGGAAAATAAGACAGACAGGACTAGATGAGAATAAAATCCTATAAGCGTAACTTGGCATGATATTTTCAATTTACCTGGTCCACTACAGATAAAATTGCCAATATCGTAGGAGGCAAAAGTTGAATTGGTTATTTGTGACAAGCCAAGGTGTAATTCTTTTATAGGTAAATATCTTTTGTCGTTTAATGTTCCTCTATCTTCTAGAACACGGTTAGCAAATGAATCACAATTGCATGATTTATTTTTGTTATAGCAATTATTTACGACGCCACATGCACATTTAGACGAATTTGATGGAGCTCCAGCCCAATTTTTCATTCTTCGACCATCTTGTGATATCCACCAGATATAAGGTTGTCCAGGTGAATTAAGTAATAGTGCTTGTCTACAAGTAAAGCTAAGATCTTGACGACAACGATCTGATACTTTAGCCAAAGCAGATAATTGTTGAATTGAAATTGTATTTCCCCGTTGATTGATGTTATTCGTTGTAGCAAGATAGCCTAATGGAGTGACTGCTTTACCGGGCCCAACATTAGCCGCAATAGGACGTAAATTCCTCTGTAAAGTATTATTATGCGTAGCTACAGTATCGCTAGGTGATCTACCATCACAGTAGACTGTAAATGGCAAATTAGAACCATATGGACCATCTGGATCAATCATATAATTATTGCTCAAATTTCTAGTATCACTTTGAAAGTGATCGTGGCATGATTTTTTATATCGATCTAGAATTGAAAAAGCAGAGAAAAAGTTATACACCTAAAATGCACGCATGCGAATAGTAAGTAGCTGAAAGAGAGTTGATTTTGAAGAGGCGTAAATTATAAAATACTATTACAAGTCATTACAGATAAATGGAACCCATATTTCAATACAAATATTTCATATTTAGATTTATAGTAAAGACATAATAAAGAACTTTGTTGCGATAGGTCTCAATATGAATATTTCATATTTAGATTTATAGTGAAGATACAGTAAAGGAATTGACTGCGAAATGTTTCAATACGGATATTTCATATTTAGATTTATAGTGAAGATACAACCAAGAAATTGGCTGCGAAAATACTTCAATAAAAATATCTCATATTTAGATCTATGGTAAAGATACAATAAAGAGGTTTGCCGTAGAATGCTAGCTATTGGACTTTGAAGTCGAATAATAATTATACAGTAATAGTAATCTAGGAGTCCAAACAGTACGTATACTGATAATATCATGAGCGGGATGTTGTACTTGTTATAATAAATTTAGGAAAATTGGAAAATAGAATGCTAATCTTAACTATCATTGACTCTTACTATTATCTGTAAAAATGATCAGTTACAATAATCAGTCTATCAACAATTATTTCAATCATAACATTTGAATAACTTACATAGATGGCAATATTGTCCTTGGTATGGCCTCGATATATCACAATCACATCGAAATGTATTATCTACCATACTACAGATGCCATTATTAAAACAAGGTGAGACCGGATAGCACAAATTGGACACAGTGCAGCCATTTTTAATCACTGAATTTTTAGTAACATTGCCGTCATCAATATTGACACGAACTTGATTAATCTTGATATCACGTATACATCCTTTAAAACCTGTCCCTGATGAACGACCAATAATGATGGTTGGCCTTGCAATTTGATCACTGCCACGTAAAAATATTAATGCTTTACTTTTACCGTCTAAAGTTGCTGTAAAGCGATCATTAACAACATTCAATGTAAATTGATGCCAAACACCGTCGGTAACACTGGTTTCAAAAAGGAAAATATCTTGTGTTCCAATAAATTTAACACTTAATTTACCAAATTCAATACTAACATAAAATGGATTCAGTTGCGTTGGTAATCGTGCTAAGGAGATTAACTCAATGCCAAACCCGTAATGGACAGTACGAAATGAAAAGGATAGGGTAAATGATGGCGATAGTGAATTAAATGTCATGTGCGATGATGTATCCAAGAAAGTATAAGGTGTATAGATTGTTAATGCCGTACAACTAGTGGTAACATTGCCGAAATTTATTCTAGACCAAAATTTCATAGCAGCATTATTTGCTGGCAACGTTTGTTGGTCCACTACAATTTTGCCAATGCAACCGATTAAAAATGGACGTTGGGCGCTTGCCAAATCCGACGGAAGACCACCAGCGTAGATGATATTATCGAAAGGTGAGCCACGGTGTCCCATAGTAAAATTAACACTAGCACTTGTTGTTGTATCCACAGATAAATAGCCAGTGTACCCTGCTTTCCTGATAGTGATAGAATGCAAGTTATTATCACTGATATTTCCCGAATTATGGATCCAATTGGTTCTACCGTCCGGTGTTGTAAATCCATAACGTAGAAATCCTTTCCATAATTGCAATGTAACACTGGATCGATCACGACCAACAGTATGCAGTACAAGACCATCGGTGGAAGATGTCGTTAATGATATCCTTAATGTATGATTGCTACTATATTGGGATACAGTTGGTGCTACTTGCGATAAATACTGAACGTAGCCTTGGCCATCGAAAAAATCTAATTATAATGGAAGAAATTAAAAAATTAGTAATAAAGCAAACATTTATCTCTATTCATTTTGACTAATTTTATTGTAAAGAAGTAGCAGTAGGGCAGAATAAGATATAGTCGCCCTTATTAGAATCGATAATTAATAATCTTTCAGTGTACGTGTCCCTACTATTCCAACTGCGATATTAGATCCTTTTGAGCCCAATTCTCGCCCATAAGACAGAAAGCGTCCATTAATGACTCAATAATTGACAGAGGCATTAGTCTGAAAATTCATCTCATCTTGATAGTGATATGTTAAGCAATTCTCTATCAAATTGCCAACTAGTGAAATAGTTATTCGAAATTATTGCATTAATCGTTGCGGTACAACATGGCGTTAGCTGTTATAGAGAAAAGAGCTGAGAAAAGGGCTAAAGTGTCATTATGCTCATTTTAGATACATTCTACGCTCATTTTTTCATAATTCTTTTCTACTGTTTTTAAATCAATACTGGCTAATTAATCCAAAATTAGCAAGTGACTATAGAATTATTTTTATAATTAAATGCCGGATAAATTTACTTTAAATATCTCGTTATACAATCATTTACTGTCTTAAACTAAATAGTTCATACATAAGGTAATGTATTTTCCCAGTTACAATACAAACATTTTAAATTCTTAATCAGGATGTAAGGATATCATTAGGATCAGTATATGAACATAAGCCAATAGTGTGATTTATTTTAACCTCCCTATGTTCGCTTTCCAAGATAATTTTGCTAATACAATCAAGAGATAGAACAAAAGTACAAATTAGAACTATGGACTACTAGAAGACCTGGAATACTAGAAGAATACTAGAAGAAGACCTAGAAGAAGACCTAGAAGAAGACCTAGAAGAAGACCTGCTGGTTTTCTTCTAGTAGTTCATGGTAGAACATAATAATATCAAACAATCTTACTCATAAGCACGCGAAGTAACATGATTTGGAAGATAGAGATTTCTATTTAAAGAAATTCCAGTTTTACTTGAGAAAAATTGATATTATTTTGACTTGGAGAAAATGCGAACATTAAGTAACTAATATAAGATCTATAATTATGGTAAGCAATGATAAAATGATTCTAAACTTCCAAGAAATGTATATTTCTTTATATACTCGTATACAGCTATGAAATAATATAAATTGGTTTTGTGATATCTATAGAGACCCTTATTTTCAATAGTAGCTAACCGAACTAATTTTACACTTTATAGATTGAATTCTTTCATAGTAAGTACGGCGAGCCTATTTGTTAACATCATTAAATTTTATTACAATAGGTTAAAGGAAATGCTATCGTGGAAGTATAGAATAACAAGGCGTAGATTTTGCTATATATTTGGAGACTATAGTATAAAATCACTAAAAATCATTAATCTGCACGATATTTTAAAATGCAGGAAGAACAGAGATTATAAAGAAAGATCGAGTTGAATTAATAGATATTAAGTCAATATAAGAGATTCTGTTGATTTTCTCCATTTTTAGTTATTGGTACTAAGATAATTACGATACAAATTGACTTTAGTGTTCATAATGCGAAAGAAATCATGGTAGCAAACCATTCAAGTGTCTAAGAAAGACCCTTTTAACAAGAAATCCTTAAGGTTCTAACAAATTGAACATCCACAGCCAGTTAATAAATTAATAATGACCTAAAAATGCATTTTAATTCAGGACTACAAGCGCCACGCTGTCATGACTAACACATGTGGATTTTAAATTAGACGAAAAGGTTTTTCTTTTTCAGCCTTAGAGCTCGTCCATAAACCCTATTCTATTGATCAACAAGGTCAAGACTGCTATAAAAACTTGCTATAGTCTTAATTTAGAGTGGAATAGATTTCAATGGAAAACAGAAATACTCCTGACAGCAAAGCAATCATTTTAACACTAACAGTCATTAGGATGGACTCTCTTTACTTTGTGACTGCTCTATCAAGTCTAACACTAATTAATGCGAGCAACTCGGTTTAAATAAAATTAACGCTAAAAAGCAAATCGAATAATCACTTTTAGTGAATATCCCGTTGTAGCCAAGTAATAATTTGAAAAATTTTATATTGTACAGTCTTCTTTGTTAGAAAAAGATGGGAAGGAATTCCTTTCTCAACGAGACTGTTACAATTCTTGAATAAAAAAGCTTTCGAAATTATTGAATGGACTTGCTATAGCTTTACTAAGCAGCTCTTCTGAAGGCAGATAGCCAATAATGGCAAAGAAATCAAAGTTTTCCATTCTACACTTATACTAAACTTGGTATTCTTACCAAGCTTTAATCAAGGTTGTAATCTACACAATCATGAAATATTCATGAATCAGTCAATATTTAAGTAGGAAAAGTTTTGTCAGTTTGAGAAATAGACTAGAGCCAAATCGTTCTATTAGCGGCATCTAGAATTATATCATTCATAACTTTATGAGAAAGAAAAACCCCGAATTCTATAGCCCATCTATTACTGAGATCATTTTTGAACGGCGCATTAACAGCGAATGCCTCTAGTTGCTGCAAGTGTGGAAGAAGAAATAGTGTCATAGTACATATCTATAAGGATTTGCATTTCAAATCCTGTAATGAGATTGGAAATAGTTTTGGGGCCATTGCCTCACAGGCAACGACTAGATGGAAAATTGATCATTTTACCGGGTTAAAATCTTCTATAAGGTAGATCAGGAATGCTGTCTAATAGTTACGAGATTTATTTTTGCAAATTGAGGTAATTGATATAATAAGTGTAATCACTTAGAACTAGCAGTAAAAGGAAGCGTTAGAACATCAGTAAGAGATTATAATTATTTTCGTAAAGAAGCAAGATTAATGTCCATATAGCCAGGTACAAGATAGAGCCATCAATGTCATGGACTATCGGCAAGGTGAATTTTTTTCAATTATGTAATGATATTAGATACAGACATTTAGAATATGCAAAGATAGTGATCGCCAGAATTTTCGTATGCCAGACAGATTTTGGCATTGGTTATAATCATACAGAGTCTCCGTCCGATGGAAGATGGGTTAAAAAATATTTCATCATCAAGTAAGCTACAACTACAACTAAAATCTATAATATATTATTACTCATAATGCAGTTTACATCATATAGAAGAGGTAACTACAGAAAATTTGTCAGTTTACTTTTCTTTTAATGTGGTCATACACGATAAAGCTTTCTTGATCTTTTGATTGAAGTATAAGTAAAAATGTTGTAATATATTAGAGAGATTATCAACCGCTTTATGCCAAGATGTTGGATAAAATTTTTTTGGTTAATAAACGATGACTAGATCTAAACTTTATAGGCTTAACACGGTCTGACAATGAGTTATGCAGAAAGGGAAGGAAGGGAACGTTAAAATATTTGCCTAACTATCGTAGATTTTTAGTTTTCATTTTAATGAAGTAATCCCCTGTAAGGTGGACAAGGCTAAACGAAAGATTAATGTCCAATCTATCTTAGAGGAAGATGAAATTGGCTCATAACTAACGTATAGTCCCTTTAAGGATATTTGAAGAGAAGTTCTCTTACAAGTCTCTGGCTCTGTCGTCATTTTTAGGAAAAATTGTTTACAGCATTGTTAATGCTAATATACTGTAAGTTCAGTTCAGGCGTGGGATAAAAAAAATTGAATTTAAATTTAGTAGTACCAGGGTAATGCATTAATTTGAATATGAATCAATCGAAAGCCATTCTTTGATCTTTCTTGAGATTCAGATGCTCTGCTTTAAAGATCTCATTGAATATGAATGCCCGTATACCCATGGCTATAGACAGGGATGAATGATAGAAAAGAAAATTTATGACCATCATTAATAGTAGTGTTCTGATATGGCGATAGTCATAATTTCAACGACAGACTCTATTAGCATAGGATACGTTGCTAAAATTTGGATATATCCGTATCGTACAAGGCCCTAAGCGTTAGATTTTGCTCCAATATCATCATCTTTATTTAAAAGCAAAGACTATTTATATCTTGTTATTACAGTCTATAAATTACATTATAACTTGAAATAATTTATTCCATCATTGAATATTGACAGTATACAGTACGAATAACATAATTACTCAGTGTTAAGAGTGAGTCTTTATTTGCCATCAGGACATGAATCTTGGTAACCGTCTACTGCACTTATATAGATATGCCGCTTACACAACTGGTTAAGAATTAACACTCAGAATTAGCGTCTTCAAGTAGGATTGAAGAATTGTTTCAGCTTATTCCATCATCAGTTTACCAATTTGCCGGTAGTCATTTATTCTAATTATTGCTGCATTATTCAATTTGAATAAAGTTACTCGATTTATTTCTTCAATGAGAGCACCATACTGAGAAGAAAAGTAGTAGCCTACAACACTTTAATCGTTTTTAATTGGCTTTTTATCGGTATAGTCGATATTTTTCCTTATATATTTAGTATCTTCAGTATGAGTATATAAAGCAGAAAGAACCTCAATTTCCTGCTCGTAGCCTAATCACTGCATCGCTTTGCCTTCTTGAAATACTCAGGAATCTTGATCTCAAACATTTCGATATTAATTTGGGCAATCTACAACGATGGCTCGTTACTAATGAAATAAATAGCCTGCAATACCAATACAAATCATCCATTTGATTTAATCTATGGTGAAATCTGATGAAAATGATCCCATAAACTGATCCTGAGTTAAAGATCTGTTGTATTAGTAAGTACTGGGAAAGTGTGAGATAAAATGGCTGTCTTGTTACTTCTCCAACCCTTTCCCATTAATATTTAGCAGTAAGCAATCACTAAGAATAGTCATTGGCCTTAGGATTATTAATATTGACGGATGAATATAAAATCGTCATCTTCTCTTGAAATAGCAACATATCTATTCTACTGTATGTCAATTGGTATCAAATGTTACCGATAATATTGGCCACAATAGAAAGCATAAAACAGATTTATTAAAGCCATTAACGTCTAAAGAGTAATAGAACGTCTGCATGTTCTCCACTTGACATATTCTATTTTGCATTCCTTACGCAAGATTGTTCTCATCTTCGCAGTACGTTTAATTTCTCATCTGATCATTCTAATAAACATTTCCTATCCATGAATCAATCTATTTCAGCGCTCATTATAATTATTGAATCTCTTAGCGAATATTATCAAAATAAAGTCGTGATCGATAAGGATAGTCTTACGATCAATTTTCAATGTTTCATTATAACTTGTGGTAAGGAATCCAATTTATTAGCTAGGAATGCGTACGATCTTCTCGGTAAGAATAAATTAATATCGTAAATATCCTTGCACCGTCATAGATATAATCATTGAAACTGGTAATAGACTACAACAACTTCTCTTAATTTTCACTCCTTGTTAGCAAAAAATCTGGAATTACTGATATTTACTGTCACTACTGCAATGATCACACTTGTGACAAAAAGCAATAATATTACTTACAATATCGATATCATGGGCAATATTGAACTTTCTGTCAAAAATCACTATTATTACAATTATTCACGCTATTGACCATGTTTAAAAAGTTGATATAAGTTCGTATCTACGCTGGTTAATTATTTCAACAATTTGTCGTATTACTTTAAATTTTAACATAGCTGAATAAAGAATGATAATTTCATAACGTAGAAATCGACTAAGACACGTTAGCAACATTGTCTAGAATGGCGAAGTAACGTGATAGTGCTGGATAGTATGGAGCTGAAAAGAAGCTCGAATTTGAATTGGCAATTAATCGCTTTTTATCGTTAGCTTATTTTAAACGAAAGTGAAGATGGCGACTATCCGATTATAAATTCAATTAAGTAATGATTTAATACTGTTTATCTATCAACTCTCTACTTACCGCAAGTTGCTGATGCAATTAAGAGAAAGAAGTAAATAAATTGGATTCGTAACATGGTTTTCAATTTCACTTGGTCTCGGCGCTTTTGAAAGAATATCCAAAG